AAGGACTTCGCTGAAGAGACATTTGTGTTTTAGACTTCCTTGTTTTCCTGTCTACTTATTTTCTTGTACTTCCAGATCCGGGCCGATCACTTCAAACAGTTTTCCAGATTTGGTCCTTACCTTAGGCTACTACCGATGCCGTCATCCGGTTTAAGTTCTACTAGCCTTACACTACAGGTATACTTGAACCAGCTTACCACAAAGATCTACTTGCTTAAAGTATGATTCTGCCAAAATCTGCTCGGGTCAAACCCATTTGTGATCTATACGGATCATGCATCTTAACACCATCGCAACGCTCCTTCAGAAAATGGACTGGTGGCGATCTTCCTTGCCAGATGTATATTTGAGGTCAAGTATGATTCTGGGCGGAAATTATGTTTCTAGGCGGGAATAATTTTTCTAGAACTTGGCAAAAGATCTCTGTAATTCTTACTCTATGTACATGGTAATCTACGATAAGAAATACATACCCCCGTGGATAGAAAATCTGGCAAGAATTTACGAAGTGCAAGATTACGGGTACTCGTAACATTGCCAAGGCCGCGTGAATACGTATAAGCTTGGCTACAATTGACCCATGCGTCAGAATTTATATTCCGTCCGCCTGACCTAATTAATTCCTTGCTGCAATCAACTGTACTATTGCTTTGGAAAATCAACACCAGCTCCATAATCAAAATTTAGCTTAGAAAGTGGTGGTCATACCTTTCGACGAACAACTTTTAACAAATGTTGGCATGCAATTTCTCAAAATCGACGCACATTCTCAAATTCGTATAACATAGAATAAAGCATTTGGTTAAAAAGCTGTCGTGGAAATCTTTCGCATCCTTGGTTGGACACCCGGCAAAGACGGCAGCTGATATTGTATGACTATCATCATTATCTGGCTTAGGCCCTTCAAAGCTGTCTTGCAAAAATGTTGTTGAACATTTGAGAGATCAGAGGGGCTGGATGTGAGTATGACCGAGCAAGAATTTCAGCGCTAGTGACCACATACACGATCCTGTATATGCAACCGTGTATACCGACACTAGCGCAGACATTCAGCGATCGGATAGTCCAGGGTCACGAATTTCTGTACTTATTGAAGGGCTTGACGAATTACGCGTTCCAGTCAAGCTTTCGGATGGATGGAAACCGGATGCAGGCGTAATGAATGCTAGAACAGGGAATGCTCACTGCATGTACGAACTCGATGGTTATGACAAGGATCTCACCATCCCCCGACGTGAAGCGACGATTCAACAGAAGTGATGTGTACAGCATACCCTTTTTGCTCCGAATGTGGTCTGACTAGTCCTGGTATATTTCGATGGTAGCCTCATAAGATTTACGTAAGAATCACAGACATGGGTTGGGACTCTAATCTCATTTCTTTCGATATTATGGACGGTGCAAAGATGAAAACGCCACTACGGATGAGCGTAGATCGTATGTGCTTAAGATCGATCGATGGATAACCGATACTACATCTAAGAAAGAGTCTTGTGCGTGCTGAAAGCAAGAATGTAGCATGGGACCATTCCAATGATAGAAACTGCTTTCGGGAATGGTCTAGAATTCAAATCACAAAAAAGATGTTTTAGAGACCAAAAATCCCGGAGCGATGTCCGTGCACTGGCGACCCTCAAATCTCGCCTTCTCTAATTGAGGTCACTTCAAACACCACCATGTTTCAGTGTGATTCGAGAAACCCAAGGATCGATCAGCGGTTGTGATTATGTCGAGCAATATATATATACGGATGCTTGTAAGCTGCTGAGCGGTTCAGTACTTTATCAAGAGATCGTGAATATACTTACCAGTGACGAGCGGTAGAAATATTTCAAGAAATATATCAAGCGCTTAAGAGCAAGCCTGGTATTTCTCTCAAACGACTGTGGCTTGTTGAAATTACCCTAAAACTCAACAGTAAGCACTGAACAGAGATAATTTGTTCCTGCATGCGAATCACATACTTATCGTTTATTTTTTCATATGATGTCTCTGTAATTGATGTGTTTTCTTGAATTATAAGGAAACTCACATAGTTGTTTTGTTAATGGGTGATATCTATTGATCGTCACCAAGAAATTGATGAAGCTATATACAATATAAATGGGTAGTAACAGGCTTTCAGATTCATGGAAAAATTCGCGAAAGATCTCACGTGTCGCAGCTGAAATATACAATCATCAATCTTTAACAATTTCTTGGTATTGATCAATAGAAATTCAGCATCTTGTCAACACTCTCGAATAAGTATATAGAGTGAGTTTGGTATTCAGTGGCAAGCAGAATCATCGCGAACTTTTCATCACTGTAATATAAGACAGCTAGCAAAAAGCATATTATTTTTTTGCAAATTTGTCGAATATAAAATTCGTCGCGAAATTCAAGGTGAGATATCCAAATTGTAAGCTACCTTACACAGCTGAGGTTCGGTGGACAAGATATGTATACCCTTCTTCTACAAGTTCCCATTATAAATATCTGTAATTTAATCGTCCACTAGCAATCCCCTTCCGGATTATTCGAGAAAATACATTAATTACAAAAATAAACCCAAACAATATGCCATGATCAACTTAATAGATGTCGCTACATGCAGTTAAATGTAAAAGAAATCGACGAGAACCTTCGCACAATTTCATAACTTCATCTTGTCTTCATTTTCAAATTTGCAAACTACTCCTCGGACCAAGAATCTTTACTTCGCAACAAGCGACCAAGTTAAAACACTTCAATTCAAACATGTTCGGCACATGGGATCTCGTTCGACCGCGTTTCTGGTACCCCATGTCATCACTGGAGCAGT